CATTGTCTGACTATCATTTGTTACGATCCCTGCAAAAAATTTTTAATTTAAACATTTTACAAGCGAAGAGCAGCTGAAAGTCACTGGGTCAAGTTTTCCGCCAATAAATTACAGCATCTCTACACCGATGTCATCTAAAAATGGTTAGAGTCTTCAAATAATAATAGCCTATATATATTTAATTGAAATTGTATTTCGATTAAGTAAATTTTTGTTTAAAAATGTACCAAACGTACTTTTCAATATTATCCAATATAACTTATAATATTTTATTATATGGCAACAACTAACAAACGTTGGTAGACCACTTTCTCGACCATTGGTTGAAAGCATGGAACTTGTTAGGCAAAGTATTGCAAATAATTCTGAACCATTTAAAAAAAAAACAGAACTTGTCATTTAAAAAAAACATCTTTCAATACTCTACTGAGGCTATTCTTCTTGTGAGAACTTAAGTCAATAAAGTTACAAGTGCAATGTTAGATTAAAACAGAGCACCCAGGACCGTTGCCTTTTTGACATTGGTGCGATCCCGGCATCTTTAAATATGCTAAGATTAATTATACTAGCTATCTGTTAGTTACTACCAAATCCATCCATAAAGATTTAAATGTTCTTTTATAAAAGATGTGATATTAAAGTATAGCTTTAAATATCTCGAACGATAAATAAGTAACACTAATTCACTAGTTACTATTAAATACCTTGAAAAAATTCCTAGTTAAAGATCTATTGTGATATTCACAGAAATAATTTCCTACATTAAATCAAATAATTGACAAACGTAATATCTCGTGATTTAAGATACTATATACATCTGATTCAGGATTCCGAAAACCGTATTTAGTTACTAGTCTCGTTTCCTGGAAATTAAAGAGTACAAAGAGACAAACTTAGCAGAAATTACTCTCTGATTTTTACAGAATCTGCAGGTATCGTATGGAGGTACCAGAATCTCTTTCTTGCTATCAAAACTGAGCAACAGTTTAATTCTAAATTTAACAGAAAATGCAGCTATCCATATTTGAATAATGGTTGTTAACAGGAGCATGGTTAGTTAAAAAACCAATAAGAATATAATAATATGCAATTTTTCCTTTTATATAGAGATTTGGCGAACATAATTATTTTAGAAATATTACTTATATAGTTTAAGATCAAAATAATATTATTTGAATAACAAATTTAATAATCATTTTCAGAAATGACTAATGATCACATCACACACTTAAATTGAACTATTGCTAACAAATCCTAATATTAACATTTAAATAATATAGATCTTCATTATAATATTTAAATATGTCTCAAATATATACAATAATTAATATTTGATCTATATTTTAAGTACACTTTTCTAGCACAAAGTTACTACTTAACAGCACTAATTTTATGCTGTTTAACAGTAGATTTTTAATTTCTTTAAATCACAAACAAATTATTGCAATATTTATTTTGAAATGTTAATTTATGAATAGAACTCTTTCTTGGCCTAAATTAAAATTAGTTTTATATCACATTGACATTTCAAAAACTAGTTATATTAATAATTATGACTCATAAAATGAATTTTTGTTCTTAATATAATTAAAATTATTTTAACTTTATTCGCAGAAAGTCAAAAGCAAAACAAAACGTTATAAAAGATATGAGTTTAACTGAATTTGAATATGAATTAAAATTGTTTTTAAAAGAAAGAAATAAAGGCTTGTAACCTCAATTTGGACGACACAACATCTGCGCGTTATATCAACATACAACAACCTACCAATTTGATAGAGCAACTTATATATGAAAAAACAAAACAGTTCAGTTCAGATAAACTGGTTTACAAAATATAAAAGAAAACACTTCAAAAGCCAAAATGGCAATACTTAAAGTACCAAACAACGAGCAACGAGCAACCAGCAACCAACAACCAGCAACGAACAATCAACTACTTTACTAAGGCGGTGGTTAAACGGCAGGCGGCAATGATGGTACGACCTGCACGCAACTATAATAATAGTTAGTCTATATTAAGAAGTATGTATGTCAAATGAAAACATGCTAAATTAGTTGAAGATAATTTATTATGTATAGCCAACCAATTCATATGTGGAGCAATTAACTCAGATATTCATTTCAAATAAAAAATTTAAAAAATTAAATGATGGATTTATTAGAGATGGATATGGATGAAATGGATTATAAACATTCTACAATATTCCAAGTGGGTGTAACGCTTGCTTTTCGATATATTGATAATGGATTAAAAGTATTTTTTTTTTTTCTTTGTAAATATTGTTTTTCTTATTACAAAATAATTTTAGCTAAGCAATAAAAATAATAAGATTAGACTATAAAAGCTAGTTGAGCTGGGAAAATCTACAGTTTAACTAAAAGTAAATGGTTAAAACGTAAATACAAGGCGTGCGCAGGCGCAAAATACTGGAAAAACTCGTTTACATACAAATCGTATTGATAAAGTTGGCCATACGAGCGCCAAATATCTCAATGGAAGCTTTTTCCAAGCTAAATTCTGTAAAATTTATGAAAATGATATCAAATAATGAACAGTATTTAGAGTGAGCAGAGAGAGAGAAGTAGAAACAGAAGAAGAAAAAACGAGATTTGTTGTTAAAATTTTTCTTAGTATAATTTTAAAAATTATTAATGAAATAAAAAATCAAATTTAAAAGGCTAGTAAGCCACTGCGACAGCTGCTTGACATTAACAGGATTTTAAGGATAATAAAAAATATTTATATATTTATTTTAACTTTTTTAATTTTTATTCAAACAGATAAGCGTAATGAGTTTTGACAAATGAAATTGCAATTTACATTATTTTTTCTATGTATAGAGCATAAAATCTATTTCAAATAGAAAGGTGTTTAAGCAGTAAGGTTCCCTATAAATAAAATTTTTAAATTTAAAAATGTCAATAAAATTTATTAAGTGCATTAATATAGCTGTGATTGAAGCGTTTGTTCTAAAAATAACACAAAATACGAGGGCGGTTTGATAAGTCAGTGAATTTTTGAATTTCCCGCGCAGTTACTCCAAATGCAACATTGCTGTCATCAGCTACAATCTACCAGTGGGTAACTTTTTAATTTTGAGCAAGGTACGTCGTTCAGTTAATGTTTGATAGCCGTTCAAAGCAGAAAACCTCGTGAATTTTTACGAAAATGGAAAATAGTGAATTTCGTGTGCTGATTAAGCATTACGATCCCAAATTCACGAATTGGGATACGAACTGCAACCCCATCCCCATTCTCCAGATTTAGCCTCTTGCGACTATTTTCTGTTTCCAAACCTAAAGAAATGGCTAGGCGGTAAGAGATTTGAGTCGAATGAAGAAGTCATTACCGAAACAAACGCGTATTTTGAGAGCTTTGAGAAAACCAATTACTTGGAGAGAATAAGAAAATTAGAAAAACGCTGGACTAAATGTATTGAGCTAAAAGGTGATTATGTAGAAAAATAAAATGTTTATTTACCGAAAAAAAGTTGTTTTATTCAAAAAGTAAATGACTTATCAAACCGCACTCGTACATTGTTGTTCAGAAGAAAGAAAACAGTTGAATAATGGATCAAATGCTACATTGGCTCAGAATTCTAATAGAAGATTAGATTAGATTTTTAATGCGTTCGGAACTTATCACCACGTCACTGTATCTAATAGTCTAAGAGTCTGTAGTCTAATAGTCTGTTGTCTAATAATCTGTAGTCTAATAGTCTGTAGTCTAATATGGTCTTAACACGGCACAAATTAATGTTCATTAATTACAAAACTGCTTTCAATTATTATTTGTTCTTTTTAGACTGCATTTGTACACTTTAAAGGTCGTTCATTGTTATTTGTTATTCTCTTTTCTTCTCATGTGCTAGAACTTTGAATATATATTTTAGGAACTGCACTGTTTTCATATAAAATTATATGGTTTTGACTCTGAGCTTCAAAATTGGCAGGACACGAGTTCAATTCCTGGTACTTGCAGTCTCAAAAAATTATTTATTGATGGGTATTTAGCAATACTCGAAACAGCTGTACGGTCAGCCAAAAATTTAATTAATTAAAATAATATAAAATTAATTTTTGTTGTTAAAATTCACTACTGTTCGAAAAACCTCTTTATGATTTTTTATTCGAATTTTTCTTCTTAAACTGCGAATTGCAGAGTTTGCAACGAACAGTCGTCTATGACAACTTGAGAGATATTATTCAAAGAGATCTTCCGCGAGAAGAGCATATTTGACAGGGTTTAAGTTATAGCGAAGATAGAAGACACAACTTATGACTTAACCTAAAAGGTTTTCTCATGTTAAGAGCATATAACATAATTTGACAGAGTTCAAAGTACAGTGAAGATACGATTTGAATGCCAACTTTTTACGTATTTTACTGTAAGTGGTTTTAAGTTTCTCTGTATGAAAAGTATGTAAAAAAAGAGTCTGGATCAGGGCTCGTCACATGTCAGGGCTCGAAGTACACTGAAGTTAGAATGTGAATACCAATTTGAAACGCCTTATCCTAAAAGGTTTTATGTTTTACCGTGTGAAGAGCATAAAACTTTAAATCTGAGCTTAAAATTTTGCACGGCTCAAAGTTTAGTTCTTGCTGCCATAAATTGTAAATGGGTAATTAAAAACAATATAAAAACAAATAGCACTGATAGTTATTATTTGAATATGTGCCAAACAGCTGTATTTACTATGTTTCGCAGTGATTTACTTGCCCTAATAGTGATTGTGTTGTTCATATTAAGAAAATTATAAAATAAAAAAATCGATGTAAAAATATACTGAAATATTAAGTTTTTCACAAATCAATTTTCTTTACAAGGTCTTTTTCTTGCACTAAAAGTTTAAAAATAAAAATTATTAACCAATTAAAATTACTTGTAACAAATTAAAAACTTTGAAACCTATTCTCACAATAGCACCAATATCACTGTGATTAGTTTTAAATATACTTCGTAGAAAATAAAAAAAAATAACTTCTAATGCACTTACCCTCTGATGGTGCCATCAGTTTAACGAAATTGTCGGGAAATACGCCAACTTTGCCACGCAGTTCGCCTTTCCACCAACCTTTATCGGGTAATTCCATAGAAATTATAGTTATAATATGGCCAACTTTCAATTCCAATTCATCATCATTTTGCGGTGCATAAGGAAATTCAACACGACAATATTCACGATGTGGTTTCGGTGGCAACGTTGGTGCCATATCTTCAGATGACGTTGCAGTTGTGGTCGTTGTTGTAACAACTGTAGAACTAAGTAAATCTTCTTTGGAACTATGGAAGCTAAGGCGATTTGTTTTTTTCGTTGAATTTAAAGCTGATGCTACCATTCCACCAACCGTATTTGCAGCTGTAGGTGGAGCAGCCGATTTCACAGCTGCTTGCGCTGTTGACATCGTTGGTGGTCTTTTACTGGCAAATATCGGTGATGGCTCAATAGCGACAACAAAATTTGAAGGAAACACACCGGTTTTATTTTTTAAACGTCCACGCCACCAGCCTTCCTCGACCTAAATGAGTGAAAAACACATTAAAAAATGTCACAAAATCATAGAATATGGAATGTAAAGAAAAAAAAAAAGAAAAATGGCACAAAATGTATGTCATTTCAAAATTATTGTTATTATTATTTTGTGTTGTAGTACATTTTGTCCATCTATTTAAGTATTGTATTGTACCCACCTCCCCTAGGAATTCAATGACATCACCCACGGCCAACGTTAACTCGTCATCATTGACTTGTGTGTAGCTGTAGATGACTTTGCAGCGACGATTCGCTGTAGCGGATTTGTCTCTGGAAAGTATTGAGAAATATTAAGAAAAAAAATTGGTTAGAAAGTAAATGAATGGTAAATAAATTATAAAATATTATGCAATTAAAAGGTGAAATGGTAATTTGCAAAAATAATATTAAATATAAAAATAAATGACGAAAAACAAACAAACAAACAAAAACGGTGATTATGGAAAGTTGCGACATAGCGCACAGAGCAAAAAAAAAGACATCACTTAATTGTTGGTTACGATTTTCCAATAGTAAAACGCAGAAACGTAAAAAAAACCTTTATTAGTCAACAAAATTATTTTTGTTTTTTTGTTCAAAAATTAACCCCTGAGGTGCAATTTTATTTGATATTAAAACGGAAGGTTAAAATGGTAGAGGAACTAAATAGAAAGTTAAATGTAAACTTAATACAATTATTAATTTAAAAGAATTAAATTATTTTCTCATTTATAACTTTTATAAATTAATCTTTTGCTTTTTTAATTCTTAATAAAATAAGCATATACAAATCTGTGAGAACTAATAAGCTAATCACACACAGCACGAGTTCAATAGCTACTCATTTCAAATGAGTCATTTGAAAGTGTTTACATTCGTTGTAATTCATTTGTTCTCATTTCAAACAGCTGATTTTTCAACTTGCCTGTTGATTTGATTTTTGGCCTGTGCCAAAATGTAAAATATACCTTGAAAACTTACATTTTAAATTGAAAACTTATTTTTAGCTTGCAGTAATTTATTTTTGGGAAGTAGAAGTTCCAAAAATAGGTATATAGTTTTCAAGGAAATGCAACCACCAAATATTTGTTTACATTTTTTTGTAAATATGTCAAAAACGGCTTTCTCAAACTGTCAAAATGCCATGAAAAGTTTTTATTTATAGTAGTATGTTCAATGTCTTCATTTGCTTTGGAACATATTTGGAACTCATTCTACCCTCGTTGAAACTCATTTATATCGAATGAGATCCAATGAATCTCATTTGCGCTTGAGATTTTGTATGTATGAGTCATTTGCTTCTCATTTTTGATTTTTGACTAAAATGAGCCATTTGAGGGCAGTGTAAATGCTATATTAAGTTATTGTTACTGTACATGTGTTTGTTACCAACAATTACATAAATAGAGAATTTCTTACTCAAGTCACGAGAGAACTTGGGTTAGCCAATAAACTAATAAACCTATTAAAAACTATGAATAAAGGTAAAAACAGAATAGCAATCTTAACCGATGTATCATCCAAATTCAACATTCATAGATTACAGTTTAGATTTTTGAATAAGAAGTAAGAAAATTTTTATATCTATAAAAACGTCCAAAAACTATATGATATGTTCAGCTCAAGCATTTTCCTAATGATAAATTAAAAAATGTTAAATTTAAAATTTTTTTATGATTCTTTTGATGAAATTACTTTTCATAAGACAAGATTAACTTCTTGATAATGATAAGCACCCAAGAAAGAAGCCAAAATCAAAAAAAGTAAAAATTAGCATTAGTTATTGTCCTTTGAGCAATCAGAAGAATGTCACATAAAATTAAAACTTGTACAACGATAGTTCGTGCAACTTAGGCTCGCTTGGTTGAGAAACCTTCTAGTCATTTGTTTTATATTTGACAGGTTCACAGTTCTTAGCCCAGTGGTTCAACAACTATATACAAACGTATGAAAACTGATGAATATGATGAGCATTGCATATCTATACTTAAGAACATATATAGTTTTAATGGCCCTCAATTAGATTAAGAGTTCTTCGATTACCAAATTCTCAGTAAGATATTTGGTTCACATGTAAAAACTGTGTATGGTATTTTCGACATTACGAAAGAAAATCTTAAGCAGATAATAGACATAGAAAGACAGAAACACACTTCACAAAATATAGCCAACCCTGGTGAAGGAAATGCTAAAATATAATGAATGTAGAATGTATGTAGAATGTAAAGATGAGGATGATGAGGCGCTCAGATTTTCAAGACTACTTTGTTCTTGTGATATATGTTTTATTATTAGGATATTTCTCTTACGCTGTGGATAAGTGATTAAAAGCTGTGTGAACACAGAAAAAACCTACAAAAACAACAGATTGCGTTTTATTATGACAGTAGAGTCGGTAATCTAGCTTTGTGTAATTAATACCAATCGGTACAATCAGTATTGTCTAATCAGTATAATATCAATTAAAGGAAAGCAATCAATTTTACTCGACTCGGTTCGAAACAGTGCACGATATCACTGATTTGGGTTCTAGGGTGGAGGAAATTTTTATAGAAGGTTTAGAAGCATTCTCTGCATGATTTAGAACCATTTTCTTCTTATTAAAAGACGAAAAAATATACAATTTCAATCCACAAAAGTCAGCAAAAAATTAATAAAGAACAATGCTATAATTCCACACTACAACTTGCTAAGAAGGAAAAGTTTAGTGGAGAGAACTAGTAGTTTCGTTATATGTAGCAAGACTTCTAACAATACTGATATTATTTTTACCAAAAAAACAACATGTATCTCTCTTAATTAAAAATGCAGATTCTGCAGAAAGGAAAAGGAATACAAAATAACTAAACACTTTTTATTCAAATGTCCAGCCATGTTAACGCAAAGAAAATTGCAAGTGTTAGTAATCAGCAGTTAGAGTGCAAAATTAAATAAAAATGCAGTAAAGAATATAAAATTGTCTTATAAAAAAAGGCAATAATGTTTACAAAAATATTTTCTGCATAATGTCATTTAGTTATGTCTACTAATATAATATAATATAAAATAAATATTTAAATTTAAATGTATTAAATGCTGATAACAGTATTGTTTCTTTTCTTAAATCCTCTTTTCTTTACTTTACAGATAAAAGACGTTGTAAGCTTATATCTATTAATAAGTGTATTCACCCTTTTCTTATCGACAAATGAAAATCATCACAGAAATCAACCAACCTTAATGTAACGCTATTATCTTCACTTGTTTCCACAATCCGCACAAAGTTGTCCGGAAACATGCCAGTCTTTCCATTCGATTGAAGCGTACCCTCCCACCAGCCGCCAGGCAGCTGTTTTACGTTACAGATTATAGCACCTTTAACAAGATCGAGTTCATCGGGTTCTTGAGCTGTGTATTCAAAGTCGGAAATGGCGGTAACTGTAAGTATAGAGAAAATAAGATTAAATTAAATAAATTTATGTATTACCGATAATTTATATATAAACAAATTTAAATAAAAATAAAATCCATTTATAAAAAGAAAAAACATAATATGAAATGCATGAAAGACATGAAACCAAATGCTTTAAAAATAATAATAAATAAAATATAATAATTAAAAATAACAATAAAATAGCATTAACACAGTAAATAAAGATAAGTATGTACATATGTAATGTTTAAAACTGTCGTTTAAATGTAAACATCTCAATATTAACTCAAGATAGAAAACATTTTGCATATATGTTTTTTAATTATTTAAATTCATGTTTATTTTGCATGCGATATATATTGTATTTTTAATTAATTTTTATTTTTTTTGCTGTTGTTTAATTAAATTCAGAAAATGCAAAAATGAAAACGTTTTACTACGAGAAGTGTAAGTACGAACAAAATGTATCTGTTGCATGAGCATAATTGTCTCAGTTTAACAAAATAGAAAATCGTATTTACTTTCCATTTAACTTGTAAATTAAGACTTTTATTTTTAATGAATTATTATACATATTTTAATTATATTTATATTTATTATAATAATAAAAATATGTATACCATAAGATATTAATTAAAAATATTATTAACAAGAGCTTAAAAAAAATGTACATTTTATTTATTTTTATTTACAATTCAATAAAGAATGAAAACAATTAATAAATAAATGTAAAAATTAAAATAATGTCTACTTTTAAAAGACAGATTGCAAGCACAGTAAACGCTAGGTTTAACAAATACCCGATATACTAAACAACTCAAATTTATTATATTTAATATTTACAACTTAAATTGTTTATAGAAAACAATCAAATACTTGTATTTTATTATTATATATTATTATTTATATATAAGTAACGTGTACACACATTCTTTGAGTGAAATAAGTGGTTGCAATAAGTAAGCAGATGTATCACACCAAGTTTGAAGGGCAAGGTTGGTTGCTGCAGTAGTGGGGCCTGGACGCAGGTCACACCGATGGAAGTCTTAAATGATTACTAAAGGCTCTACCTCGAAGTAATACTAACGTAGTCCCGAGGTAGGACAAGGTCTCTAGGAATGAGAGGGAGTGATTTAGTCCATGCGAGTCGGACATTCACTTTCTGGGGCGCCGGATTGTGGTGAGTGCGTAGAGATTCCACTCCTACTTGCTGTACATTAAAAAAAAAAAAAATATATATATATAATAATATTATATATTATTATAATATTATTATACTTGTATTATACAATAAACACGTAGATAAAAATTCATTTAATAATTCTCAGATTTTTTAACGCAACAAAGGCATATAGGTATGTATATATTTTTTTTAAATCATATAAAAATAAATACTTAATTATAAAATTGTATTATTTTTATACTTTTATTTTACTAATATTTTATTATACCTACAGTCTATTGTGGTGCTTAGAAATAAACCCATTAAAACGGACGATCAAATGAACTGGAATTATTTACACAATCAATTGATGTAACAACATTTTTTTGTTACCAACAATCAGTGAATACGTTTTTTACATATAAATGTATTTCATATAAATTTTTTATATGCAATATTAGTAAAAATGTCTACGTGAGTTTCAGGAAAACAAAACAAAAATAATAAATGACTATTTCTAATAGACCAAGCCAGCCAAAAGACCTAACAAAAAAACGTGTTACTTTTACTGTTAACGTGGGCGTGCTTTATGAATAAAATAACAACCCAATATTTACCATTTTTGTTTTATTATTCAAAAAAAGTTGAGATTGAGTAAAAATCTGTGCAAAATAAATCAGGTCACAATTTTTATTTCATAAACGAAGTCAGTTTGTTTTTTAGGCAATGAAAGGAGAACGTAAAATTGTATGTAATAAATTGTATTTTCAAATATCGTTTAAAATTAAATTTAAATAAAATTATCTATGGAAAAAATATTTAATTAAAAATTGTCCTCTTTTTATTTGCTTTATATTCTTAACGGATTTCAAAAGTTCACTCAACGCAAAAAGATTTTACTCCAATAATAAAAAATTAAACGAAACATATGTACATCATTATTAGAATAATTGTATTACTCAGAGGCAGACTTTTTAAGTAAAGTCAAATTTTCGATAACAATAAAAAAAGTTTTTTATATTAATTTAGAAATTACTCAGTGATATGCTATTTTGTTTCAGTGATTAATCATCAGACGATTAATTTTGGAAATTACTGAATGATTAAATATAAAGTAGGCCACGAATAAATAGGCAATTGAGCCTTGACAAACAAAAGGCAAGATCTATAAGATCTATAAGCAACACCGATGAGAAGACATTATTTTCATTTTCACTTGACTTGAACGCACAGAGAGATGCTTTAAGTTCAAATAAAGCAAGGAACGCTTGTTCCATGCCGAATGGAATAATAGTTTTCAAGAAATACCTTATGAAATGAAATTTATCACGTTGAAAGGAACGAAAGAAAATGAGAACACGATTTTGCACAGTCTTCCGTTGATTTATAACCGTGGATGAAATATATACCCATCACAATACCACGAACCCTATACAATAATTGTAGTATTCATTAACTAAGACAGTTCTATTGAGCAACCATACAATTTTAATACTTTATTATGATGTGATATCATTGTATGCTTCCCATCCATTACTTTGAACCCCCGTTTCAACGACATTTTTTCAGGCAATCGATAAAAACATTACAATTGAAAAATATCAATGTAGATCTGTCTGACAAGAAGGTTGATTAAAGTAATATTAATACAATTAGCGTTTTCGCAAAGTTTTGGTACCTTATCTTCGTCACCAACTAATTCAACATTCAATTTTATTTATTATTATGACATGTTCCATACAATTAAATATTGTTTGCATATCTAAAAACTAAGGCTTTCTACATAAAGTTTTCAGTTGTCTCTATACAGTCTTATGTATCTGTTGCGTGTTAGTTATCATTCTTTTTGTAAAAACTTGAATCAAATCACAGTTGAAGCAGGCACGAAGGATTGGTCCGAGCTGTCGAGATCAGTGACAGGGCTGCTATATTAATACAAAATTATTCAATTATTAGACCTCCAATCCTACCAATGACACATGTGGTTGACACCGACATATCATTCAGACATAAGATGGATCGCAGATATCCCGCTAAGTACTCGGTTACCAGGACCTCTAAGATTTAAATAGAAGCCATCACGGGATGGATAAAGGTTGACATGAACTCATGAGAGGCTTCGAGAGACGCATCATGAACATTGGCCCCTTGACCATTCTATATTCAATATAATTATAAATATTCAATATTCAATAAGTCAAAAAGTCTAAAAATATATACATATATTCTAATATAGTCTTAATTAGTGTTGGATTCAAAACCTAAACTAATTGTTTGGTTTAAAGAGAGACGTATTGTGTCTATATTAAGAACTTCAAACAAACTTATTTAAATAGAATTGAAAGTAAAAACTCTTTTGAAATAGAAATCTTTTATTATACAATCACTTAGTTCTTATTCAATCCTCGTAGATGTATCTTAGAAAATTATGTAAAATACTGAAATTTTATGCATTAAATGAAGCTCTCTGTCTCTTATAATTATGTTAATGAATGCATTATTATAAAATATTTTATTTGTTTTTTTCCTTTAAAATTAAATAGAATAAGCGAAGTCGATAATCTTTTTGAATTCAATTAAAGCACGTTTAACATTTTTTTAAAAACTTTTTTAAAAGGTAATAAATAAAAGTATTATTTTTTAATTATTGGTACATTTATTATGTATGCATTTCAAAAAAAGTTGATAGTCTTTTAATTTACTGAAATTAAGGTTATTCAAAAAATTCAGTACTCTATAGTAGGAGTATAGCTAAACCAAACCAGCAAGTTTCTGATTTCAGCTCGCCAATATATTAAACATATTAACGACACGATAATAGATGTTGTGGGTAATTTAATATTTTGACTCGGAACATGTAATTTTCGACACGTCGCACAGCACAGTTAAAACCGCAAAAAGTACTCGAACTCGTAAAAAATGTGACTAAGTTAACTTTGTATTCAGACCTCGACAATACAGAATTGAATTAAATATATATATATTTTTTTTAAATCTCATAAATATTATGTAATGTATGTGTGCTATACAAACTTGTGTTCCAAGAATTCTACACAATTATTGAAGAATTGTTAGAAGAAACTAATGTTTACTCAAGTAAAGGAATTTCTTTTAATAGTCGTTTTATTGCATTTTTTTAATTTTTTATATATTTAAAAATGTTACAGAAAATAAAGTTAATAAAATCCATTACATACGATATACTCATATATACGTATGAGTGCTGCACATAGCACTTGACTGCTTTATTAAGTGCTTTACTTTACAAATTATCGGAGTACACTTTTCATACTTAAGACAAAACGCACTAATTTCAACATATTTTTTTTTTTTTAACTCTTTTGTAAAAGAGAAAGTGCTCGAGGTAAGATATGAAGTATCTACACACAGTAGATGTAATTACAATAATTTATCTAAATTGCTCAAATTAAAATACAACAGAAACTGCTTGTTAGAAGACGTTTGTAAAGAACCATACTGCATCGCGAGCATGAATATACACTTGAAAAAATAAAGAGGAAAAGGAGAATTATGAAAATGTTGAAAATGAATTTCAAAGTAAAAGTTTAAATATTTTTCATTTTTTTTATATTTTCGTTTTGTTTGTTTTTAATAGCAAGAGTTAAGTATTTGCAGTTAAACTTATTTATGTTGTATATTCACAAGTTATACTGTTAAAATCTACACCTTCTAAAATATGTTGCCATTGTTGTTGGGTATCTTATTACTATCATCCTATTCCTATTTTTACTGTGAGTTGGCCATTGACTGTTTGCTGTCATTATTGTTGTTAAGTATAATTGCTGTAAGAGAAGTAATACCAGACCACTAAGTGAAAACTAG